GATTGTTCCACTTAAAACCTGTTTATTGTCAATACAGTTATCTCGTCGAATAACAGACTGTTTGCATAGTTGAGCAGCATTATGAGAAAGCATAGGCCTCATTGTAGGAGTTAATGAAACTACCTCAGTGATTTTGTCAAATAGAACAAGTGTTCCAGCTAAGGGATTGCCATGAGATTACCTATAGGGCTACGGCACGCAGCTCGCTCTATTATAGGACTTAAGCTAAACCAGCGTAACTGGGCGCCATGATCCGTTAACTACTAGTAATCCATACCTATATAAAATATTAACGCGCTATTTTCTCAACGTGGACTTATACAAGCTGATCTGTCACAAGCGTCAGAAATATCGAAATAGTGTTAGTCTAGGCGATGCAAACAAACTACGAAGTTCAGTGTATATTTTGTGAGCCCTACAAAAACGACCCTATCATTGCTCATGCAGGCATTAATGTAATACTAGGTAATTGAAGCGGTTAGCATGCCCAACGGGGTCTGTTACTTCCAATCATTTCAGACTTTCGCACTACAACCGCTAGAGATTCGGAGGCCTCACTAAAGAATAGTGAGATACGCGGTAAACTTTTCAATGAAGTATAGCCATTGTTTGGTATTAGGTGGATTTTGCAGAGGGACGAAACGAATGCCCAAAAAGGCCGGACTTACGAGCCAATATATCATGTTAGGCAATATGTTTGTTCATATTCCCAATTTTATAACTTTACTATGACTAAAGCTTTATGAGCACAAATTCAATTACTATAGATGAGCAGCGGGAGGTTTTTCGACCTCAATACGCTTTGCAAAGATAGTTTTGACCAGCTAAAAATCACAAGCCAACTTCATTGACCTATGTGCTATCAACGTTTTTATTTCATTAGGTACGATACATCACGAACTTCGTATTGTCGCACCTAATTTCAACAGCCCTCATCAGCTCCTTTCGAATTATCTTTTGATGAACTTTGCACCTGAGTGCAGACTTGTGTTATTACATGGGCATCTGCCTATTTTGGGTAGCAAGTTGGTACGGTGCAATATATACGGCGTTTCAGGTTAACTGAAGTCCATGTATAGTTTTCCAGTAGTCCTTTACTGTAGTACCGACTCATTCACATTCTTATGCATCAAAATGCCATGTATTTTTTTTGCATAAACCACACTGTAGGTGAATCCATCAAAATATGGGAAGTGGCGTATGGCTTTAAAAAGACAGTGTGTACTTAGTTTTTTTTTGCCTAGTACTTAGTCTTTATTTATATACGATTTACACTGACGAGGTATACGTACGGGTATACCACGACGTAACAATCAGTCGAACAGAATCAAGGACAAGTGTCGATGCGGAACGGGGTGAAGGACAAGTAGCGGTGCAGGCTCAAGTTCAAACATAGACCCGGCCGCAAGCGCGACCGCAGACAACGCCAACGCCGACACCCAGGCCAGCGCTGCAACTTGGTAGTTTCGATCCTTATCTGTGACCGACACATTAAGGGTTTTGTAAACGAACAGTAGACAATACATTTATGGTCTATTTCATATAATTTTATTAAAAAAAATTTTGCTCGAAATTTCAACTTCTAGGCAAACATAGCACCTTCTAGAGAACAGTATTGTCATTTTGGATATAATAGGGGTATAATTACTCCCTATAGACAAAAAATAGACAACTATGGCTTGAGCAGGTCTGTTTTTCGTATATAATGCTCCTACTCTGGTGAGAGAGCAGGCTGAGGCTTCCTAAATAAGATAACTAGATCGGGACTTCTGAAGCAGTTTAGCGTTCGGAAACCTAAATTATATATATTTGAAATGGAAATGTATAAATTACGTTATTATTAACGTTATATTTTCTCTTAAAAGCAGTATTGAAGTTACGTTCTTTAATCGACAGCACTAACAGGCAAACTAGGAATACACATGTCATAGTTGTCAACCGTAAAATTGTTACGTAAATGCAGTAAAATATATTACAATTATGTAAGTGTGCAAATAAACGTACCTAAAAATAGGGTCCGATATAATTTTTCACTCTAAACTGAGAGGAACTCGTTGTTACGAGTGCACGAAAATCATTCACCGATGGTTCCCATAATAGTCCACATTGAAGTGATTTAGTACTCCCAACTACAGTTATTACAAAGTGCTGCTTAAGTACGCCTGTCATTAACTTGTAGTTCGGGACCCGATTTCCTAAGGAGAAGGGCTAATTTCCTAATATCTCGTGCCACTTCACCAGGGGTAGTGTCATACCCAAAGTATGCACCGCGAGACAAATTTGTCAGATTTTTCTCGGTGTTATTTATTACAGTAATAGTTAAACACTATCTTTAATCACTTCTTTGGGATGTGGGTCTTATCTGGAAGATATTCACTGGCAGATTGTGAGGAAATGTTGACGACCTATGTAACTGAGGTTCTCAAATGTGACTGTTGAACTGTATTTATTCCTTACCAATGTATGCACCCTCGCTAAATTCTGTAATATAGCATGTAGAGTTGTATATGAACACAGTAGGGGAATCAATATAATAAGTCGTACATAAATTTAGTGTCAGACGAGTACAATCTCATAAATAGCTTTATTTGTTTTTGCAATACTATTTAATGTTCAGTTGAAGAAATATGATGCGACAGCCCCAACGTGGGTCAACGCGCCAACACAATAGCTCAAGACGGAAGAACTAGAAGTTGTTTATGGTCAGTGAATCCTTATGCACTTACTGACCGGTGGCCATAAAAGTACATCTACAAACTGGTACAAAATGATTTCAGAAAGTCATATCACATATTTTGGCATGTGAACAAAGTTGACATTTTGGCAGGCAGCAATTCTATTCATTATGTCAAGTGTCCAGTAGCCTGCTGACTGAGCACAGCATGACCTAAGAGCGTTGCCTTATTTGAACCTCATATTGCAAAAGCAGATCAGAACACATCACAGAAAGATAGAAAATGGTAGGTACTACTTCAAATCAAGGCTCCGTTCCCCTTTTTAAGGTTCTGCCAGCTCTGTAAAAACTTATATATACAGGCTTCATTATGCATATGTACATAAGCTTAATGGGCAGAAACATTGTAAAGACTTGTGCGAATATTAAGTTTTAGAAGTTTGGCGATAGTGATTTCTTTGTGTATACAAAGAAAACACAGTTTGCAGGGTAATATTACACATCACAATTCAGCTAAACTTGCTATCAGGTAAACATCGTTATGAATCGTTCTAGCAAAGTGAACTTCTAGCGAAATCAGCGCCATAAGTCAGTTTCAATAATCTCACCTGCACATTTCTAACCAGCATAGGTACACTGTTATGGGGTTATATTTACGTCGTTTGCTTTCGAACTCACGAGATAACCCGCACTATACATATAGAAAACCAACAACCCAAAGTATAAAAAAATCATTTTAAATTAACAGGTAGCAAAACAAATGTAAAACAAACAAATCGTATCCCTACAACAGCTCTTTCGCGCCGACTCACGCCATCTACCAATTCAAAAACAGGCGCCATTTTTTCCGAGCGCCTCCAGCCCTCTCCGCTCGCCTCGCAATACTCCCAGTCACATCAGCCGCTAGCCTAAGCAATCACGCGTCGCGAGCTCCCTCAGTCGGACGCTAGGCAGAGATGCAGGCGCGTTAAGCACTACGTTCCAGGTGCGCCTGTAATCGCAAACGGCAGAGAAAAAAAAGATACAGAACAAAGCAGAGTTAGTTTTCGGTCCTGTGTAAGCCTCACGGGTGTCAATGATAATCTATGGGAAGAGGGCGAAGCAGCGAATTTAATTGTGTGTGCCGTTACTAAAGATACACTTACTTACGCGGAGGCGGACCGTGAGCACCACTCACAAGCTCGGAAACAGTGCAATAAGAAAAGGGTCTAGCGGTATCTACGAGGTTGCAGCGGATAGATCTATTGTTTAGCTCTTCATAAGCCGAGTACGGCAACAGTGTACGCGTCGAGTCGGATATTAGTGCTGAATAAAGGAGACATCGCAACAAAACGGATTGCTGTTGTGTGTCGATAAATGTTTGGCGGCGGGGGCTCTGAACGCCCACCGCTAGTGACCACTCTACGCCGCCGCGGTGAACCTCACAACAATAATCACCAGCCTTCAGGACTGAACTAGCGGCGGGCAAAAAGCACAAAACAGTAACAAATCGAGCCGGTTGTATCACTAGATCTATATACAGTTTACGGGCTTCGTATTCTAGGCTCTGGCGTACGATTTCGGTCTTTTTGATTTCTCCAACTAATAGTACCCCTCATACTTGAATCATATGAGTGGTTTATCATAATATGCAGGCCTTTAACACACTTTACGAATGAAACACGTTAGAGACAAAAAAGCTGCTTGAATTACCTGAGGAGCCGTTGTGGCAAAAAGACGGGAGAACAGGTGAGGGGGACTACGAGGATAACGAAGAAAAATCGACGAGATTCGATTCTGCTGTATTTGAGACAGTGTATGGGCTAGACGAGTGGTGGTGCAGTTCGGAGAGAAGAGTGCACATTAAAGTGGCCGTTGAATCGTGTCACGATCTCGGGCGACGTACCAACCATATCGTATGTGGCCCTTTGTATATTTGCCGTCGTAGTTGAAATTAGGCCGGTTATTCTTTGCCTGTTGTGTTAGTAGAAAGTCAAAGCAAATGGTAAAATCACTCCTTCCCGAAATGTTTACCTAACAGGAATTCAAGTGAGAGAATGAGGTGCATATTATGAAAAGTGTAAAATTGAATCGAAGAATATATGTCGATGCAGATCATTACGACTAACAATTGTATTGCTGCAATAACAACAATTGACTGAACGGGAGACAACAGGGATCCTTATTGGCTTGCTCCCGATGTTCAGTTCTTCCTAAGTGCCATAAAGGGTAGTTTGAGAAAGCGACAAATTAGTCGAAGTGAATAAAGTGCTTAAGAGGTCGAAAACGTCTTGGAACGATATACACCATGAAACTGGATTACCGTCTCGTCAGCTATGTACTTGCTGTCTTCTTTTTCGCGTACTACACCGTCGACGTCAGCGATTCACAGGTGAGTGCCCATAACAAAAGTGACCATATAATGGTTTGCAACAACGAATAGCTTCAGCCATCACCTCCAATTCCCCATCATGTTTCTAGTGCAAGAAACTGTGAAAAATAGTCAGATTCTCTTCTTCGAAAAAAACCTCTGAAGGAAATCTCGAGTGCAAGCCACCGAAAACTCTTGGAGATATCAGTTCTCCAATAATTCTAACCTAAAACAGCCACTATACATCAATTGGTCTTCATCAAACATCAATTTTAGATTGACTACGATTTCTATCCGATTACCATATATATATATATATATATATATATATATATATATATATATATATATATATATATATATATATATACATTAGTGAACGACATATATTTTCTGCTGAATCGTCGCTACTTGCGCCGTTTGAACGGCGCTGGAGGTAACCGCGCATCTTGTTTGAATTCCAGTTCACCGTAGTACAGTGGCCCGTTCCCCTCTCCACCGGTTGTCGTCTGGTTAGTGAACACAGCGAATCGCGCTACTAGAACTACTAGCAGTTCTGCAAACAACAGGGAGTTGCATCTGCCTGTTAGAGCGAAAAGAAGAGCCGAGAACAACGAACGAGAGTTCCTCCTTCCGACTAGAAGCACAGCATATACATTTACTAGATAGTGATAACTTACAGTTAAACGACCGTCGGTCATCACACCGCTGCAGCGTTCATTTCTAACGGGCAATATTATCTCTGTGTTTGCGTTGGAAAAGTTTGCTTACGTTTGGCATCACGCAATACTGGACAGTGAAGAGCTCATTCACGATGAAACGCCATGACTTCGGTAGCAGCCTCTATGATAAATGATATATTACCGATTTGCAGACCCACTAGAGACTAATGTGCGTAAAGTAACAATAAGACAATTATAAGCCTTCGCCAGCAGGATACGGTTATTTATTTGAGGCACTATATGTAGTCTTCTGCACTAAAGGCGCACAAAAAGATCACATGGGTAACATACCTATATAACGCGTGCGTTTATTGCAGGTGTTAATAATAGATAATAAAAAAAAGATTTTCTCTCTTCACTGTAGATACAACAATGTTAATTTGCATAGCAATTAATTTGCAATTTTTTTCAATACCCTTCTGTCAAACATACTAAAGCCGTAGGCTTGAAGGTCGGTATGTAGGTGGTTGTTTGCTTGACAAAAAGTGGCCTTTGGTATGTCTATTTTGACTTCCGTTTCCATAGATAATGTAAATGCTGCAAACTGATGATAAGGTTGACTATAGGCCGTTGTAACTTGCCATTTTGTCGATCTGACTGGCTCACCATAATCTCAATTCACCTGGCGAAATCCAACAACTACTATTATCATAAATGCACTGGCTATCTCAACGTGATTAATAAATCGAGCCTCCGCGTACGTCTCATTTTTCCAAACGAATCATGCTAACCTCGGCTAGTCTTACAAAGAGGTCGAAATTACTTTCATGTTGCAGAATCTTTAAGCACGTTTTCCTCCATCTCTCCTTATTGGTCTTTATTCTTTTTCACCGAACCCGACGCCTGGTCCCCATAAACTTTCTTCTTGCACTGTTACATCTACACCGCACTTTTCCCTGGACGCGGTACGATGGAATCCTGCCATTCCGTCCTCCAACGCATCAGTTGCCTTATCAGCCATAGAAGACCGACTCTATACAGAGGCATTCAGTGATACCTTTTGTCCCTTTTCTGTGCTTCTATCATGGCCGTCAACGCCGTCACCCTTTCCATCATGATGAGATACAAATGGATACACGAGCACCCACGGGGAAACGAAAAGCCAAGTGTTATGCAGCTACGAGTGGCGCCGAATAGTGGATATGGATCATCCACTCACCCGGGTCTGTAGAGTCAGCCGGTAACTGAGAGTTTGTCTGCGGTTTGACTGAACGAACGCCTATTTTCACCGACACTGCTCCTTTGACGGGTGTTAAAAAAAAAAGGATGTTTGTGAAAGATTTAAAAAAACAACAAGGAACGCCACCTATGCTGCTGGGCAGTGAGAAACGTGCCTTACTTGTAGAGCAATGGTAAAGCGAAGGCTATCAGTGTACTCCGAAGGCGGATTGGCAGGCAACATTCGAAGGGAAAAATAGAGATAAAAACAAATTCCATCAAATAGCAATTGGAGACACCTCCAATTCCCTCCACTGCCGATATAACGATGCGCGAATAGGATACGTATATATAGCCAAGGACAAAGTGAAGGAACATAGAGATAAACCGGGTCAATCAATAAGAGACCGGTCAACGGCAGAACGGTGCACCGTCTGGCCACCGGGAGCAAGCAAGCGAACCATCAAACGCCGTAGAGACCAGTTCTTCAAGCATCGAAATAGCCATAATCAGCAATATTGTAATATTAATACTCTTCTACTGTATCGGGATGGCAGCATGAACAAACGGAAAGGTTTTCGCTACGAATGGGCCAAGAGCAACGGGACCGCTGACGACCGAAGTCGCACGGCGGCGACCAGCCGATCGCACCCCGCGTTGTTGTTGCTCGTCCCTTTTGCTCTATTTCTGCCGTTGATGGCGATGTTTTTTGGGAGGTGGTGACGCCGTTGTCGACTCTATGACGGTCGTTTCTACGACTAGACATTTGTGCGAGCTGCCGCTGGTACGCTTGCTGTGTGTATCAGGAGCGTTGGTGGCCAGAAGAAATGAACGGAGGGGCCTTATGGACGTTAGATGAATGGATGGATGGTTGAACCCACAGCGTACTTTTCATTGTACCCCGGTTCCATTTCTGATGACTTGAAAATAACGGAAAGGAAGCAGGCAAGGAATTAAGTAGAAGATGAAAAAGAAAAACAGTTGCTGTGCTTACAGCCGCAGCAACAACGGCGGTACGAATAGCTTGTGATTTGCTGAAACTGTCTGCTTTCAACAGCAACGAGCGAGCGTTGCCGCGGATGCCATACATACGCAAGTGAACACCAGCGTATAAGATCCGCTCATAGAGACACGCGCACATCAATAGCAAGCCAACAAAAACCTGACGTCGGAGAAGCTGCTGTTGCTGTCAATACTATGAAAGGTTGTTGTAGCTTTGCTGCTGAGATAGCCTTCTAGAATAGAGTGCTTTGTAGAGTTTTTTCTCGTTCATACGATGAACAGCAACTTGCGGATTGTCTAACTAATTGGCTGATCATTCACTACAGGAAGAAGGGATGGACTCACAGACAGATGAATTGGGTAGCACGATACCACAAGCTGAGTAGAAGCCTGTTCCAGTGGGGCGGTTAGGGAAATGCTTGGTATAGGCAAATAGTCAATATAGCAACCTTTGGAGGCGTTACTGCCGTTGCTGGGGTCGTCGGGGATGGTGAAACAAACCATAAAACGAGTGATCTGAGTAGCTCGATGCGTTTGCTCGAATAAGAGCATCAAGATATAACAGCTATGTAAGTGGCATGACAAACAACGCTCCGAATACGGTCGAGCATCGTAATGCTACCGTAGGCGAACGAGTAAAGAGGGGAAGTAGCAGAAATCGGTCCTGCTCATTTCTGAAGACTTCGCTAGCTGCTCTGAAGACTTATGGTGATGCCTCAGCTAGCTAAAGCGAATAAGTCTCCCTATTTTCTTATATTTACTGCCAGCTTCGGTTTTCTGGGGTCTCTACAGAACAGAACAGAATGATGTGGACGGCGACGGGAACCAAGGAAGGCACCGAAACGGCCACCTTTTTGTTATGCCAGCGACAGTGGACATTGCCGGAGAATCTAGATAAAGGTTTCAGTGATTGCAGCAGCCGGGGAAAGCAACAGGCAACGGCAAACTGAACTATTAGAGATTCTCTGCAAGGCCAGTGTTGGTTTGCGATGATGCAATTTGATGATATATTATACCATATCTGTAGTATCATATTCGTGCTGGTGACAATTATGGAATGGTTACGGTAATTAAAATCCTACGTTTGTCTACGCTACATATATATACATATAGATCTTTGTTGTCAAAAATGATAGGAAATATGAACTAGTTCTTGTTGCACACACATGTTCACTCAAAACTTTATTAAAAGGTCCAATAACTGTTCTTGAAGATATTGCAGTGCGACGGGGTTTTGTATAAAAACGTGTATTGTTGTTTTGTAATGAAAAAAAAATAATTCAGATTTCAATATGCCTAAAAATATTATTTGCAGTTACTTAACATGAGCTGTTTAAGGAAAAGCAATTTAGTAAAATTTGCCTAGTTAAAAGATTGACTGGTTTTATCAGCACGTATTGAATGTACGCCTTCTATTACACGTCCTTCGGGTACATGCGGCTTGCAAGCGTTTAAGTGTAGTTTATACATCTCACACGTGAACGCACACATAGAGGCTCGTGCTCCACAATTTCTGCCTCTTCTGTGTTTTCTAGTTCGATTGTTTGTTCGTACCCCACGCCACACCTTCAGCAAATGGTCGACAATTATGTGTCCTTTGTATCGCGAGGGTCTTATTATTACTGCGGTATCTACGATTACTACAGCGACTGCTATTAGCCAAGTCAGTTGTACATCTACACTGGCGCCCACGACTTTTTACTTCGGCCTTTTCTGTCAACTGGGACATCGTCTTACTGAAACAACACCAGATACCAGTCATTCATCATTACCATGACCACCCGTCTTAGTATCACCATTACGTCGAATGTTTCATCAGTTCCGTTCCATGAATCTACTTTGAGGGAGCTCCTTGATGGAAGGGGCGCACATTTCGTAGAAGACAATCGATTGGCTGATGGCCAACCATCGCATCTCCGGCCTACTCCGATCCAACCATCCCCTTTGCGGTGCCATGCCGTAACTGGTTTTGCTGTTCAGTGGTAGATGTGGCGAACACCGGTGCGTCGCACTGAATGGAGACAAAGAAAGGTAAAGCAGGCGGCTTTGTACCCTATCCGGTGTTTTTATCTCTATCGCCTGTCTTTCTCCGTACACGTGTAGAGTGTGAATAGACAGAGCGTCGTACGCTGGAAGTTA